ATTACAATTTCTATAGAATCTTGGCCTTTGAGAGGGATACAGCGCCAGCACCAGCTCTGCAAGGCAGCAAGAGAGGGTCAGGATAAAATTTTAATTTAAATTAAAATTTTGATTTTGATGTGATTCCTGCCTTTTAGAGGAGTGTAAAAGCACTTAAATCATCTCCTCAAACTGCTGCTGTACACAAGTTTGCAGTTGCAACATCATCAGCTCCCATAAAAAATACGAGATTTTCCCACAACCACTCCTTTTATCCCTCCCAGGAGTTTACACAGTAGCACCAGTGCTGCTGAAAATTACACTTTTCCATTAAGGTAAAAAAACTCAAAGAAATAAAGGGGATTTTAGGTTGGGTTTTTTTCAGTTAGGATTCCAATAAGGACCTTTATTTTTCACAGAGTAAGGTCTGGTATTTCCACTTTCCCCTCTATCTCATAAATAAGCAGTAGATATTTAAGAAAAAAAGCAGCCTTATACTGTAAATATAGAATCATAGAATGATGGAATAGCCTGAGCTGGAAGGGACCCACAAGGATCACGAGTCCAGCTTCTGGTCCTGAACACATACATATAAAATATGTATAAAATAAATATATATGTTTAAAGGATGAAATATATTTCTCAAGAATGAATTTGGTGTTTCATTAGCAAATGTTTCCCTTTCTGACAGAACAGCCTCTTCTGATATATAATATAAAAATCCCAGCAAGAGAAGGACTGTTTAAAGGCCATTTAACCCCCTCAAATTTAGAGACATTTCCAGAACAGCCTGTCCATTGTGTTATTGAGTTTCATTTCACACAGAACTGCTCTGAAAATGAGCCAAGGAAATGTTTGGTTCAAGCATATTTTCCCTAAAGACATTCCTTGTTCATTTCAAGCATGGAAATTCAGCTTTTCTCGAGGAATTGCTGGCTGGGCTGGAATTGCCAGAGCAGCTGTGGCTGCCCCTGGATCCCTGGCAGTGCCCAAGGCCAGGCTGGACACTGGGGCACCCTGGGACAGTGGGAGGTGTCCCTGCCATGGAAATGGGGTGGGATTGGGTGGGATTTGAGGTCTTTTCCAACCCAAACCAGTCTGGATTCCTGGCAAGAGCATGAGGGAATGAACACTGGGAGAGGGAATACAGTGCCATGTTGAAATTATTATATGCTTAAGTATTTATAAGTGTTAATCCTTATTTAAGGTATTTAAATAGATGAGGTATTTACATTTAAATTAAATCCTTAATATATTTATAAATATTTATAAATTCCAGGTAGCTATAGATCTTCCATCTGACTATATAACACTAATGCTAATCCTTTGTTTTGTCAGCAATAGCTCCAATTTCCATTAAGGAGCTGAAATGTGACAACTGCTGCACAACCTCCTGAGACAGAAGGGAAGGTACAGACCCACCTCCACCTTGCAAATAATTTCCCTAATTAAGAGAACCCAACCAACCCAAGAAGCAAAGGAAAGCAGCACTTTACCAGCCAGCTTTTCTGTCAGGTCCTGCTTTGCTTTTCCACTCAGGAACTGGGCTTTTGTGCAGAACGGCTGCAGGAGCAGGGAGGTGTCTAAAGGCAAAGGGCAAAACACATAAATTCCTAAATGGAAATTAAATTATCTGGAAATAAACACAATGTAGGAAAAGGTAAATAAGAAAATGCTATGGAAAAATAGCCAAAGCACCACTGAGCAGTATCAAGGTGATTTGTGTGGTGAGAATAAACCAAATGATTTTTACAGTGTAGCAACTCTTGACTCTGTGCAACTCTTGGAAAGAGTAAAACTTTCAGTTTACAACTTAATCACCACAATTAAAACTGTTTCAAAGTAAGAGAAAATAAAATGCTCACCTAAGTGTTGACATAGAGCCTGGATCACATTGGTGGCAGCTGCATAAATCCCTGGGTTTTTGGAGTTGAGGTTGTTGTCCACTATGGCAGGAATCAGCATGTTGATCACAGGTGACAAATTGTCTTTGAGCAGTGGAACCATCCTGTGCATGGCCTCCAGAGCCACCTGGGTCACTTTGCTGTTGGAGTCGTGCAAGCGAGGCTTGAAAGCATCGAAGATCTGCAAAAGCATCCAAGCAGCAGCCATGCAACTGGGAATCAATAAAGCTCATTACCTGCTTTAGTGCTGCCATTTAATTGGCCACCTTGATGATGGCTCTGCTATCTCAGGGGTTGGAAACAGATGTTCTGTGAGGTCCCTTCTGACCCAAACCACTCTGAGACTCTGAGATATGCAAATACCTGGGATGATTTTTGAGCAGGTGAACCCAGATTTGCTATTTTAACCCCGTGCATTAATCTGATCTGAAGCCCAGCAGTGTAGTGACTCCAGGCACAGCAACTCTCACTGTGACCTAGAGCTCCTGCCAGCCTGTATTTTTAGGGAGACATGGCTCTGTTCAGCACAGGGAATGTCTGAAAGTTTCAAACCCATTTGAGGAACCCTTGCAATGTACTGACAATAGAA